ACGTTGTACAAATGGCGGAGTGATTCCCTGAATGTTTGCTTGTTATGTTCTTTTCGAAGTGAAATATTGCTCTTTAATAGACCGATGTAACTACTGTAAGTACTAGTAGTTGCAACGTAAAGTAGTTGCTACTAGTTGTATCTGGTAAGTTGGCAGATGAACGTTATTTAGGTACCAAGACGCATGTGACGATAGGAGATGTACACTGGGGTCAGATGGTACACTTGGATAGAATAAAATTCATCAATATTCTACTTATGTGTAAACTTAATGATGATGTCTGGGAACAATGCTTCTCAATATTAATGTTAGAATGGCAGATTGTGGACTTGTGGGTATGTAGGGTGTGAGGATCTAGGGATGTGGAGATGTGGGGATATGGGGATGTAGAGATGTGGACATGTGGGGATCTGAGGATGTGAGGATGTGGGGATGTGAGGATGTGGAGATGTGGGAATCTGGGCGTGGGGATGTGGGGATGTGGGGATGTGAGGATGTGGGGATGTGGGGATGTGGGGATGTGAGGATGTGGGGATGTGGGGATGTGGGGATGTGAGGATGTGGGGATGTGGGGATGTGGGGATGTGAGGATGTGGGGATGTGGGGATGTGGGGATGTGAGGATGTGGGGATGTGAGGATGTGGGGATGTGAGGATGTGGGGATGTGAGGATGTGGGGATGTGAGGATGTGGGGATGTGAGGATGTGGGGATGTGAGGATGTGGGGATGTGAGGATGTGGGGATGTGAGGATGTGGGGATGTGAGGATGTGGGGATGTGAGGATGTGGGGATGTGAGGATGTGGGGATGTGAGGATGTGGGGATGTGAGGATGTGGGGATGTGAGGATGTGGGGATGTGAGGATGTGGGGATGTGAGGATGTGGGGATGTGAGGATGTGGGGATGTGAGGATGTGGGGATGTGAGGATGTGGGGATGTGAGGATGTGGGGATGTGAGGATGTGGGGATGTGAGGATGTGGGGATGTGAGGATGTGGGGATGTGAGGATGTGGGGATGTGAGGATGTGGGGATGTGAGGATGTGGAGATATGGGGATCTGAGGATGTGAGGATATGGGGATGTGAGGAGTGTGAATGTGGACATGTGAGAATGTGAGGCTGTGGGGATGTGAGGATATGGACCTGTGAGGATGTGGAGATGTGGGAATCTGGGGATGTGAGGATGTGGGGATGTGGAGATGTGGAGATGTGGAGATGTGGAGATGTGGAGATCTGAGGATGTGAGGATAAGGGGATGTGAGGATGTGTGGATGTGGACATGTGGGAATGTGAGGATGTGGGGATATGGATTTGGAAATTTGAGTATCTGGGTGTTTGCAAACTTTCAGATATAGAGCTATAATAATTAGACAATTTTATAAACAATTAGAAATGTCATAAATGTCTCATAATATTTATCCATGTCTGTCAATGCTTGCTAACGTTTGTCAAAACCTGTTAAATACTTATACCATTTGTTACATAGTTAACATGTTAACTTGCATATTAACATCAGCAGAATTATTAAACAATTTTGAACGAAACCCTGCGAAGACTAAAAAATGTAATTCGTACTTTGCAACAAAGTGTACAGCCGCTGTCTAATAATATTTTTTAACGGTACAAAAGAAGCGGGTATGACGATAATATAGCGAGACGGGCAATAACAGTCGGCAAAGGGATCGTAAAACGAAGTGCCGCGTAAACGACGCCAGGCGTCGGCATATTGCCCACGTGGGTAAATCGTAGCCCGTCTTAAAGAATACACCGGGTTCCTTTTTTTTTCTCACGTTCTTCCTATCGTTAGCAGAAAATTCTCCTCCGGTTAGTCGATTAAATCAAAGGAATCCTTTCTGCTAACCACCAACAAAACCCATTAGTTTTTGTTTCCTGCCATTTGCTCCTTGGCCAAACCTGCCCCCTCGTTACTCTCGTTTTTCCCCTTGTTTCGGTTCCACGCCCTTTTGATAACTATCGCGAAACAAAAAACCGTATTTTCATGTAAATCCGCTCGCCTGCCTTTCTGAAACCTTTTAACCTTTTTACGGCTGGATTTTTTTGTTCCCTCGATGAACACCGATCTGTTTTTTGCGCGACGACGTACATCGACGGTTCTGCGCATTGCACTTTAGGCGTAGATATGAATTTTCAGGAAGCTAAATTATTGGAAAGAAAGTGTACTGTGTGATGAAATGTTTAGGTTAGGTGCAGAGCTTAGGTTCTTTAGTGGAGGACTTAGCGAGATGGAAAATATCCCATTTTGTTTCTTAACCTACAATTGTCTAGGCAATCAAATGATTAATTATTGTTATAGTGTGGAAACAAGTAGAGAAAATTTGGAAGTTCTCTATTCAATGACTCTTGATTATGAAGATTACAAGTAAAATTGAACTCAAAATCCGATTGAAAATACGACTTAGTATATGAGAAGTATAGAGTGCGTCACGAGTGCGTCACGATGATATAGTACATTTTACTTTGTTAGAATTAATTCTGTGTTATCAAATTGCAATAATAATGAAAATGCGACTATGGTTTAGCGCATGTGAACTGTGGAGTGCGTCATGAGTGCGTCAAGAGTGTGTCACGAGTGCGTCACGATGCATTACTAAATTCTATTTTGCTAGAATTAATCCTGTGTTTTCAAATTGCAATAATAATGGAAATACGACTATGGTTTTGCACATGTGAACTGTAGAGTGCGTCATGAGTGCGTCAAGAGTGCGTCACAAATGCGTCACGATGCATTACTAAATTTTATTTTGCTAAAATTAATCCTGTGTCTACAAATTGCAATAATAATGAAAATACGACTGTGATGTAGCATATGTGAACTGTAGAGTGTGTCATGAGTGCGTCAAGAGTGTGTCACGAGTGCGTCACGATGCATTACTAAATTCTATTTTGCTAGAATTAATCCTGTGTTTTCAAATTGCAATAATAATGGAAATACGACTATGGTATAGCACATGTGAACTGTGGAGTGCGTCATGAGTGCATCAAGGGTGCGTCACAAGTGCGTCACGATGCATTACCAAATTTTATTTTGCTAGAATTAATCCCGTGTCTTCAAATTGCAATAATAATGAAAATACGACTATGGTTTCGCGCATGTGAACTGTAGAGTGCGTCATGAGTGCGTCAAGAGTGCGTCACGATGATTTACTAAATTTTGTTAGAAATAATTTTGTCTTTACATCGCACCAATAATGAGAATACGACTCTGATGTAGCATAGGTGAACTGTAGAGTGCGTCACGAGTGCGTCACGATGATTCGGTGAATTAAATTTTGCTAAAATAAATTTTGTCTTTAAATCGTATTAATAACGAAAGATTTTTTCACCGCAAATAATACGTGAAATTAAGCGGAGAAGGTTTGCGTTTAATTGAAATTAATTGAACGACGTCGAAGATTCATAATACATCATTCAAACCCGTGAGGGAACGGGATTTTCCATTGAATTCATTTTTCCTAATTTATGTCATAAAATGTAACTTTGAATAAGGTAGTTTCATACCTTCAACCGACGGCGTATATGTAAAAGCAATTAAAACTTTGGATTTTGAAATTAAACGAGTCCCTCTTTAGATTAATCCGGGACATACCAGAAGGGAATTCATTTTCATTTGTCAACCATCGTGAATATTTTTCGAGTTCTTCGCGTACTCGTTCATTTTACGATCTTCGTAAAATACCAGATTGCTCGGTTATTGTATCGTAACGTGCAAAAATAATATCAATTATCTCGTTGAGGCGAAATATCTGAACCGAGAGGTTCGCGAAAATTTCATTGGGAAATTGAATTTTTCGTATGAACTTCTCTTTATTTAATCGTCGTCTTTATAAACATAATACTCTTCGGTAATAATGCCCTCGCTAATTAACTAATTAAATTAATTAGTACTTTGACAGTCGCAGCGAAACCATGTTACAACGGTAATTATGGAAGATAAGGTTACCGAACTTCGCAATTTCAACTTTTGAATTACGTCGTTCTACCTTGCAGAAATTTCAGCTAAATTTTTCATTAGTCAAATATACTGTATTTTTTTCGAAGCGCAACTTTCGACGGAAAATTCGAGGGGAGAATATCAAGTTTTAAACTTCTACATTAGAATAAACTTTGCAATATGGAGTTGTAGAATTCTGTAGAACAAGATGACTGCCCGTCATAACCAAACAAATTACATTTCTCAAATATCTTATTTCTTAACAAAGATATACACCTCACCCTCTCAACACAAATTTTAATAATTAAGCTAACTTATTACTTAACCCAGTAATTTACTACTAAACTACTTCGCACGAACCGATGTAGTCCCCCGCCACTGAATAATGAACATTTAATCAAACAAGGGAGCAAAGGGAATGTATTCTCAATGGAAGTATTTTTGTAGAGGACCACTTGAAGAGTGACAAACAGGCGTGCCAGGGACGTATGATATTTATTTATAACCCTTGTCGCATGAATTTTAGGATATGCAGACGAAAGCACCCCAGGGAGCAAAACTTGTTTCCAGACTGCAAGCTATTGGATCGATAAGTAGTAGCCTGTGAAACTGTCGACAACGTTTGTCGAATGTACCATTTTCTTATTCATTATCACATTTTTCATTCATTCGCTCCTCTGTTTTGCGCAAGAACGTGTACTGTGAGCTGTAACCTAACCTAACCTCAAATATTTCGTTCGCATTGTGTCATATGTTCATTCATATTATAAGTTCAGACAGAGAATTATTTTAAGTTAACAGATTTTATGAATATGATGAATATGATGAATACGATAAACTTGATGATCATAAGGAACATGATAAATATGATGAACATGATGAATACGATAAACTTGATGATCATAAGGAACATGATAAATATGATGAACATGATGAATTCGATAAACTTGATGATTATAAGGAACATGATAAATATGATGAACATGATGAATTCGATAAACTCGATGATTTCAGACAGAGAATTATTTTAAGTTAACAGATTTTATGAATATGATGAACATGATGAATACGATAAACTTGATGATCATAAGGAACATAATGAACAGGGTGAATGTAATGAATATGCTAACTATGCTAAGTATGATAACCATGATAGCTATGCTAACTATGCTAACTATGATAACTGCGATAACTGCGATAACTATGATAACTATGATAACTATGATAACTATGATAACTATGATAACTATGATAACTATGATAACTATGATAACTACGATAACTATGATAACTGTGATAACTATGATAGCCTTGATAGCCTTGATAACCATGATAACCATAATAACTATGCTAACTATGCTAACGATGATAACTACGATAACTATGATAACTATAATAGCTATGATAACCATTATAACTATGCTAACTATGCTAACTATGATAACTACGGTAACTATGATAACTATAATAGCTATGATAACCATTATAACTATGCTAACTATGCCAACTATGATAACTATGATAACTATGCTAACTATGCTAACTATGCCAACTATGATACCTATGCTAACTATGCCAACTATGATAACTGTGATAACTATGCCAACTATGACAACCTTGACAACTATGCTAACTACGATAACCTTGACAACTATACTAACTACAACAACTATGATAACTATGAGTTACCAAACTTGAATAGTTACAAACGCAACACCCAGTATACAACGAAAGATTGATACAACCGTCGCATTCAACATAAAGATTTAACGATGAAAAAATTTCATTTGACGCCGGTTAACGGTGTTGCATGCCGTTTAATAGTCAGAGCCAGTGTTTCACGGTAATGCTCCGAAATAATCTCCCCTGCTGCTTTAGATCACTTTGCAGAACCCATCGCGGTAGCTACGTAGCTCGTTTATGTTGCGCATCGCCTCGGGCTGTGCGGTATCCGACCGAAAATCGAGGAACGTTTTAGGATCGCCACAGAATACAAGCCAATAGGCCTTTATCCGAGGTTGCGCATCGAATTCGCCCTCTCACGTTGGATCCGTGTCTCCCCGCATCGATGCGGCTATCATTTTTATGCCAGACTTTCAGTTCCACCGTGTAACTTTGTCTTCTCTTCCCTTTTGTGAAATTCACGTCCCGCTTTTTTTTTTTAAGAGAAATTACAGTGTCATATTAAAAATTTTGGGACGGGGTTTTTTCTAACTTTTCGTATTTTTGGGGTGGTACTTTTGCTGGATGCATTTTACTGAAAGTGGGTTATTTTTTATTTGGTGGATATTGTTTGGAGGTTACTTGGGGACCTAACCTACCTTCACCTAATTTGTACAAATTATTTAAAAAATTTCGTTTCAACTATTTTGTATCATTTTTTGAAGCACGTCTATCCATCAAAATTGTTTATAATGTATGAAATTCTACTAACATTATATACACTTCACACTGATGTATTTTCAATAAATCAACTTTTAAAATATGAGAAAGTTCTTTGTAAAATAAAAATCAGAATAAGTTCTGAAAATACGCGTATAAATCATATTTGTATCAAACGAAGTTTCGATCCATCAAAACTTCACAATGGCGAAGTGCAAAGCTGAAAAAAAGCGAACTGTCTGAAACGTTGCCCGAAAGTTTTTTCAAACTTGCCACTTCCGTAAGCCCGGGTATAAAACGCGTGTCGCGTGCATTAAACAGAAGGGCAGGAAGCGATAAGAAAGAGGATCGTAAAAATTGCAGGTGAATCTAGAGAAATGACGAAGTTCGGTGCGCGAGCGAGTGACAGAATACATAGAAGCGGCCGAGATACGACATCTCTTTGTTCTTTCCCGCTATTTTTGACCAGCTTCGAGACGAACGTATCCCCTTCCGGTTTGCTCGGCTCATGAATGAGCATCATGGTGTGACTCGTCAACGCGTTTATATCTGTACATCTGAAGCATCCATGTTGCACGGCCGACTTCTCTGAATGAAACGAAAAAGCTGCACCGGAGTTTATACTATAGGACGCTCCAAACATTGCGAACGTTAAAAAGGAAGATCTTTTCACGAACCGAGCTTACAATTTTAATAGGATTGGATTGGATAGTTTTTTACGGGAGGACTGTTTTAAAGATATTCTTTTGGAATTCGTCGCGTTCTTCATAGAATTTATGGTATTTTTAGTTGGGCGCCTTTCTTTGCTGTATGTTCAACTTTTTTTTCTGTGATAGAATACCTTTATTACGATTTTTGTGCGTTTTTCGGATGCAGTGACACGATGATTTGCGTAGGTGCAGTTCTAGTACGATCTGCGCATGCGCTAGCCACGCGCCAGTAGTGCGCATGCGCCAGCCACGCGCTTGCGCACATCAATCAGCGCAGCTTAAACGCTCACGACTGCGCATGTTACCTTTATATATCACTTAACTCTGCTAAACTCGAATAATCTGCAACTTACAATTGACTACTAATTAAAATCTGTCGATCAAGTAATCTATTAACCATTATACACAGTATTTTCAACTAAAGTTTCCTCTTACTATCACAATATCTAAAATACATATACTTTTAATTTTAATTCTGTTTTCATTCGAAGAGAGTGCAATACCAAATGTTTATATTGAACATAAAATTGTTAATAAATTGTGCTTGAATTTTATATAATTGATTACGAAATAAAGGTGCTATTTGACGAAAGTTAAAAACATGTTGAAGACTATGAAATACGGAGATAAATAAGATGAAACTGAAGATGTTGGAACAATATCAGTGACATTTGTAACGGAACAGAGCTAATTTCGCTGATTGAATTAATCAAGTAAAGTTTAATGTGTTTTATGAGTAACACAGGAAACTTGTCAACGGATCGTTTTAATGCGGATATATTCACAAACATGACATTGTTGCTTCTAGCGATAACCGACGCCTACGTTTCCGGTTCTCATTGAGAACGAACTAAAGTGAACGAAGGCACAATTTGTCAAATTAGTGTGTTCACATTTTCCACGTATTCGTTTGCCTCTATCAGAATTCTTCCTAGGCTGATTTAACATCCTTACATTGCAAAATTGTGAAATTGTGAAATTGTAAAATTGTTAAATTGTAAAATTGTTAAGTTGTTAAATTGTAAAATTGTAAAATACTAAAATGCTAAAATGCTAGAATACTAAAATACTAAAACACTAAAACACTAAAATACTAAAATACTAAAATGCTAAAATGCTAAAATGCTAAAATGCTAGAATACTAAAATACTAAAACACTAAAATACTAAAATACTAAAATACTAAAATACTAAAATACCAAAATACCAAAATACCAAAATACCAAAATACCAAAATACCAAAATACCAAAATACCAAAATACCAAAATACCAAAATACCAAAATACCAAAATACCAAAATACCAAAATACCAAAATACCAAAATACCAAAATACCAAAATACCAAAATACCAAAATACCAAAATACCAAAATACCAAAATACCAAAATACCAAAATACCAAAATACCAAAATACCAAAATACCAAAATACCAAAATACCAAAATACCAAAATACCAAAATACCAAAATACCAAAATACCAAAATACCAAAATACCAAAATACCAAAATACCAAAATACCAAAATACCAAAATACCAAAATACCAAAATACCAAAATACCAAAATACCAAAATACCAAAATACCAAAATACCAAAATACCAAAATACCAAAATACCAAAATACCAAAATACCAAAATAATGAAATGTAAGATTGAAAACATGAAACCTTGTAAAATTACAAGCCATATTTCTGCAAGAGAACGGACTTGTATAATCATTAAAATTATTACCGAACAACCGTACCAGAAAATTCAAGCCATTTATAATATTTCCGCTCATATCTCTTGAAGATGCGCCAACAATGTTCACCCGGCAAAATAGAAAAGTTTTCAATTTCCGTTCGCTAATGAAACCGAGATTCACCCATCGTCCGTGAATCACGAGAGTATTCGAAAAGCTGTGAGAAGCGCACGAAGGAAGGAATAAAATGAAGGGAAAAAAAGGAGAGGATTGTATCTGTATGTCTCGTTAATTGCTTGTTTTATCTTAATAAAAGCGCATACATATGTATCTCGTTTAATTAGAGCACTCTGCGCGAACTAAATCCGCCGGCATCTCTCTCCAACATCTTTATTTTATTTACCGCCGTCTCTCTTTCTATTCCTCCGGAATTTTTATCTGATCCCGCGCGCTTTAATCTTAACTTGCCCCTCTGTTAGTTCATATTATTAAGTCATAAAAAGGGGAAGATCATTTGGTATTTCCCGAGTAACGCCGTAACGGCGGAAGCAAGTCGTGCATACTCGTTTGCAAAATATTCTCTGAAACTCTGTTTTTTTCTCTTAAGAATATTGCCATCGTGTGAAATACATCTTTATGCATCTTTTTATTTTAATCGGTAATCTCTTTATAGTTGTGTGCAATTTTTTGTTCTTACAAAAGAGCGTCACGATTTTGGAAACTCCGTTTTTGTTCAAACTTGGCGTAATCAACACCGAAAATATTAACATTGCAAAACCATAGCGCGAAGCTCTGCAAAATTTTGGATAAAATTATATTTGAAGTAATTTTATATTTAACTGTTTGAGGTATAAGGAGACACGATGGAAAAGCGTTAGGTTTATTAAACCGAGGGTCGCCAGTCTCAAGATATGCAAATCCCTTTCATTTTTTACGAAAACCAATTTGAGAAAGAAATATTCGAGACAACGAATTGAAGATATTTTATTCGGTGAAATTTCACAAAATCGTTATTTATCCCGTAAATTTATGGGGCGAGTAATTTCGGACGAGTAATTCGCCGCGATCAAAGTGTAAATTCGTTTTCAGCGAAATTCTTCGGTACACGAAGAAAGTTGGAACTGGTTTGCTTAGCGGAACAAGGCCGGGAATAATGTTCCCGCTGAACGTTAAAAGACAAACAGCTCGGCATCTTCGGCAGAAGCCCACCAATCTACCGGCAAACGAAGACACATCGAGTTTCGCTTTCCGTGTCGCTGGAAGGACCAATTTCGCCGTTCCTCGGTTGCCTGTTGCCACGTTAATCGTTATTTATGGCCGCGGCTACTTTCCGTGCGCGCCGCGGGTACACCTTCTATTTGCTTATCGATCTACGGATCTCGCGAGATTGCGAACGGACCGATACACCTCCGCGGATTGGTTCGGGACCGCCATCATGTTTCTCACGATTAACCGACGAACGGACACCTTGATTTATCGCCGATTCGTAATTATCGGGATAGGCGTTACGTGCACTCTGCCGTACCCTCATTTCACTCGTTATTACCGGGGACATCTCTTAGTACCGCGATGAGCTACGGTGCGAGTTAACGACTCGTGGGCAACTTTAATGCCCATTCACGGCTCACGGGCAACTCTACTGTCAACTGACGGTTCAGGAGCGACTGCAGTATTCATTGATGGCTTCTGGGTAACTCTATTAACAATTGACGGCTTATGAGCGACTTGAGGGCGTCATGAGTGCGTCACGAGTGCGTCACAAGTACCTTGAATGCGTCACAAGTACTTTGAATGCGTCACGAGTGCGTCACAAGTATCTTGAATGCGTCACAAATACTTTGAGTGCGTCACGAGTGCGTCACAAGTATCTTGAATGCGTCACAAGTACTTTGAATGCGTCACGAGTGCATCACAAGTATCTTGAATG